TTGGTTTTTGGGTTTTAGTAGACCCGCCTAGTTTGCGGTTTCCATATTGGCCAGGGCTGAGGGAGACTTCTTTGTTTTTCAGGTTTTTCAGGTGGTTCTTGCAGCAAACAGGACAGCATAGGACAACTGGTCATTTAGCACTTGGAAAAGCAGATGGGAAGGGCTTTTTCTATTCAAATGCCTTCCTCTAACAACTCTTTTTAAGGATGCACTTTCTGCATGTTTTGAGAATTGACAACTGTCTTTCCATATTAAGCTCATTCACTTCCAGACATGTCCATTCAGTACTTAGTACTGCGTGAAGACTACGGGAGGGAAGAAGGACGGCAATGCATGGGCTTCCTGTCTATGGTTCATAAGTATTACCCACTTCAAACCCCCCCTTCCTTCTTTAAATTGAGATTTCTTCTTCTTACTAATTGTCCTCCTCACTCTCCCCTTCTTCTTCTTGACATTCTATTATCCCTGACGAGGAGGGGCGAATGATGAGAATACATCTGCACACACTCCAATCTTATTTAATCTTTCAGCAACTCTAATTTAGGCATTTTGTTTTCAAATCAAGAAAGTGGGGCTTGAGTAAGAGCTGTGAGTTTGTAGTGACAGAACTTAGATGAAGAAAATAAATTTTCCAAGGAGGGCCACATCCCATAGGCTGAACAATGGGATCATGTACCAGAAACCTTAGGCTCTGCACCTAGACAGATGGAAGATCCCGATGCCATCTAAAACACTGGATAATCTATGGAGTCCCAAATCTGGGTTAGCCTAGCTGTGGGACAAGAAAACTCACAGTAACAACAATACTAATCCGTTCCGATAATTCTGTACTCAGACAGACCTTATAGGACAGAGTAGAAGAGTCCCATAAGATTTACAAGGCTGTGCTCTTTAAGAAAGCAGAGCTTTCTTTCTCCTGCTGATCAGTGACAGGTTGGCACTGCCTTAGGAAATAAGCACTGAATCACCAAGCCACCAGTGCTCTGCAAGGATGAAACATTATCTCCTGTAATTTGGACATGTTATCAGGAGAGCCGAGTCGCTAAGGAAGGACTTCATGCTTGGTAAAGTAGAGGGGCATTGAAAAGGGGAAAGCCCTTAGTAAAGGGGGTTATATCAATGGGCTCAAACATAGGTGCAGGACCAGACAGTGTTTCATTCTGTTGCACATAATCGAGTCCCTATGGGTCCAACTGACTCAAGGGCAGGTAGCAGCAGCAGCAGCAGCAGCAGCAGCAGCAGCAGCAGCCACACACTGCCATCAATTCTGACTCATAGCTACCCTGTAGGACAGAGAGCAGAACTGCCTCCTGTGGTTTTCCTGTGGGTCGCGACTCCTTGGGGGTTGAACAACCCTCACAGGGGTCGCCCGATTCATAACAGTAGCAAAATTATAGTTATGAAGTATCAACGAAAATAATTTTATGGTTTGGGGGGTCAACACAACATGAAGAACTGTATTTAAGGGTCAGGGCATTAGGAAGGTTGAGAACCACTGCGATAACTCTTTATGAGAGTAGAAAACCTCATCTTTCTCTCATGGAATGTCTGGTAGGTTCAAATTGCTGACCTTCTGGTTAGCAGCCCAATTGATAACCCAGCATGAGCCCAGGGCTCTCTCTGATCCAGGGAATTTGTTTAGTTTTGTTTAACCCATTGTATTGGGGGCTCAAACAACTCTTTATCACAATCCATATATATCCAATGTGTTAAGCATATTTGTACATTTGTTGTCATCATCATTCTCAAAACATTTCTTTCTACTTCAGCCCTTGATATCAGCTCCTCATTTTTTTAACCTCCCTCTACCACCATCCCTCATGATTGGTAATTTATCTTTTTTTTTTCATGTCTTACACTATCCAATGTCTCCTTTTGCCCACTTTTCTTTTGTCCGTTCCCCAGGGAGGGGGTTATATATAGATCCTTGTGATAGGTTCCCCTTTTCTCCCCCACCTTTCCCTTCCCCATCTTCCTTACAAGAAGGTAAACGATTCATTTTATAGATTAGAAAGCTGAACCTCACAAAAAGGAAGTTGCTGAAACTAAGGCAGCTAGTAAACAAACTTGCAGAAATATTCAGTGTAATCAAGTGTGTTTTATAAAGTAACTTCGCCCCTCCCACTGTTATAGCCATAATTTTAAAACCATAAATAATTGTGTATACCTGTTATGAATCTAAAAACTTTGTAAAGCATGGATTGATAAGGCTTTGTTGTAAAATGATTTTGTAAACACGAAAATAAAGGCTTTATTATTCTCCCACATGCGTGGTAGCTTGTCAAAACAAAAGTCCTAGGATTTCAAAAGAGAGAGTTAAGCCGGCATGGTCAAAGGACAAGGAACAGTACAGGCACTTCGAAGAAGGCGGAGCTGACAAATGCCAGTTATCAAGACTAGTCTGTCCAGGCAAACTGCAATCATATGCAAACATGGAATGATATGAGAGTGTATGCACTAATATTCATTGGGAGTCAGCAACTTGATTTAAAAACTGGCAAAAGAATGAGTGTGATTTACAATGGTAGCAGAGGGAAAGTGAAAGAGAACCGACAAGAAAAGAAAAAGGATGAACTGTGTTTCTTGACAGAAAGGAGCCAGTAAAAAGTAGAGGCAGAGAAGAGAGAGAAGAAAGAGGAAGAAAAGGCAAGTGCTGTGAAAACTAAGCCCACATGGTGGGCTTCAGCAGCTCCTTTTAAGAAAAAGAAACTGATTGTGACGCGCTTAGCACAGGGCGCTGACTGTTTAGAGAAATCTAGCGCTCTCCCACCATTAATCTTTTCCAAAGAAAGGCTTTGTTCTGCACCTGTATAAACAATCCGGATTTTAAAACTTATATGCAGCCCCTAATGTGTGAGACTATGTATTTATATTGATAGTGCTAAGTCTTCCATAGAGGATGCAAAGAGCTAGCTTGAAATCTCCGGGTTACCTCTGTTTGCTTCCCGCCCCCCTTTTCCTCCCCCTCCCCTAGCCCTAGATGCGCGCTTGGACTGAAGTTCAAGTTCAAGCGCTCCAGGGACGATTTCCAGGCTCTGTCAAATAGTCTCTGCACTTTCCCAGCCCAGAGAGATCGGAGAAGGAGCTATCCTCTTACTCTACTAGTCCCAGAAGGACCGCCCTATCTCCCTCCCCCAGTGACAAAACGGGCGGGCGGGGAGGGCCTGTGAGAAGCATCCCACCCGTGAGGCAGGGCCTGGGGGAGGAAGGTGGACCGCTGCCTGAGTCCTGAAGTCAGCCCAGCCGCCACCAGCCACCTGTTGCCGCACTTCAAGCCCCAAGCCTGGCGCATTCGTTCTGCTGCATTAGCCTGGCGGGCAGGGCAGATCGAGAGCCCAGCCCGCAGCCAGGTCCGCTCTTATGGGTGGCACTGTGTCTCCTGACACCTCGCTCAGCTTTGGAGCCTGGGGTTCTTTGGGGGAATGGCTGATAAACATATTGAGAGACTCAGTCTCAGGCTCTCGTTCAACGGGCTCTTCACAGGATGAGGAGTTCAGTGACTGGACGTTCGGGTCCAGTTGCACATCCAGAAACTCATTTCCTCGCCAAGTAATCCAATGACCCTCCACTTAAGAAACAATAAAAGCACACGTGTGTTTCCTTTGGAAGTTTTCTTTGTGGTTAGGACTGCCCTCAAGAGGGTTCCAACTCATAGGTGCCCTGTGGGACAGAACGTCACTGCCTGCACTTTAGGGTTTTTGAAACTAAATCTTCATAGACAGCCTAGTCTTTCTCCCCGAGAACGGAGAGGCTGGTGGGGTTGAACTGCTGACCTTACGGTTCGCAACACGGGTGAGGAATAAAAACCCCAAACTCGTGGTCAAGGAGTCGATGCTGATTTGCAGTGGCTATAGGAGAGGGTATCCCTGCCCCAGTGAGTTTGCGAGACTATAATTCTTTCTGGAGTAGAACACCCCTGGTCTTGGGACCCAATGACGTTGAGGCCTGCTTCTTCGGATTTTACTTGGGAAAATTTTGTAGATTCGGCATTCAGCATCCGGAGTGGGCTCTTCCAGACATAGTCCCAAAAATACCGAGTCCCAAACTAAACGCTTTACGACGGGATCTTCTGCTGTGGTAAAAACAGCAGCAACAATCCAACGCACGCGTGGAAGTCTCCGGATCGTGGGAAAGCCAGATAAAACAGCCCTGGGTGGGGTGGGCAACTGATATACAGTACTACTGGCTGACTATTCCAATCGCGACTTTTAACTCTGCTGACCTGCCTGGTGATGTGGAGTGCTTTCTGAACCTCCCCTGCGGGTTAGCGTCAAGGGCTGTAACAGTAGAGCTAACACAATAAAGTCACAAATGCTGTTGGAAGTTGAAAGGAAGGAAGGTAGATTAAAGCGTTTATAACGAAAACGCAGGGCCAGAACCCCAGTCCACTGTGGTGGATTTTCGGATGCTGGTTTCACTTTTTATCTTTTCTTGGCTGTGCAAGGGAGTGATGACCTTGCTAAATTGAGTTCTGCGGCAAAGACTGAAGGAATCAGAGGTCGCTTTAATCAGAGGACAGAGAGAGAGAGAGAGAGAGAGAGAGAGA